ACAGGACCTTTACTGGTCATGTGCAAAGACTATTCTTTAAAACTTCTTCCAAAGAGTAATTAAGGAAACTACTTGGAGTTCCCATGAGCGATAGGCAGATAAAACAGTCCCAAACTTCCAGGTGACATTCAGATTTATGTGTATGTGAAAAATAGCTTTTTATTTAAATATGTATAATGAGAAACACGAACTAGTGTTGTCATGTATGGTAAATAGTTCTGTTGCTCTTAAATAAGCATTTTGTAGACCCACATATATTGTTACTTTGGTCTATTTGTGGAGCAAAAGTGGCTTCCTCAAGCATAAGGCATCTGCCAGGTTCCTCAGAAGTTTATCCTGAAGGAAGGGAACGATGTGGCCAGGATTCTGATGCTGTCTAAATAAAGACAGCCAAGTCTTTATTACTCTGTATAAGTCCCTGTGCAATGAAATGTGAGCTGTGACTTCTACATGCTTTAACTTATTAAACACATGACTTTTCTTTTTTCTTTACAATTTTCAGATCTTGGAATTTCTGGTACCACTTCAAAAAAGTAAGTTCAACTTCGTTTACAAAAAAAAATAATTTTTGACTCTGCTGTATAGTCTTCCATCTATTTCAGTGTTTATTAAAAATCAATGAATTGGCCATGTGCCTGTTCCCCCACTCCCAAAAAAAATCATTTCAGAAAAATTCTGGAAAAAGTATTCTATTCTATACAGATTAACTGAATAATTAAGGTTAAATGTTCCTGACATGGCTTTTAAACTTGCTGGCTTTAACCTGAGTCTTAGAAAAAAAATTCTGTAAATTACTGTCTTTATATTGGATAGCTGATTTCCAAACAACTTTAAATGAACAAATAGTCCAGATAATAAGTTGTATAGCTCTCCTCAGTAATCTAGGCTAATATGTAATAGTTTTGTTATCTTTTTACAGACGCTGGATGTGCTTATCCTGTAGGCATTGGAATACTTGTAAAATAGAAAAGAAGTTCATTCCATGCAGTGAAAAGCTTCTTTTTGCAAGAAGAAATATTTACAGCATTGCATTTATTTTTGAATGTACCTTCTTAATCTAGCTGATTGCTTACTCTGTGCTGAGTCTTACTCTGTGTGCAAGACCGGTTTATGATGTGTGTACTTCAAAAGGTGTTGTGCCTCTGTGGAGACGAAAGGAGGGATATGCATAAACACATCATGAGGTCTATCCCCAAAACTCAGCTTCCTTCAATCTCCTTCATTGGAATGGTGTATCTCATCCTGAATAGAGCGGCCTCTAACAAAGCCTGGTTTTGCAACAGCCCTTTTGTTCTATGAATGATTTGTTTCTCTTGTATCTATCAACTTTTTTCAGAACTGAATGCTTTCCTCCTTCAGCTGTCCGAGCAAGAGTTCCAGCAATGAAATGACCTTTCAAAGACTTCTAGCAGGCAGCTCTACTGCCTGGCCCCAGTAGAATAGGCAGTAGCAGTCCCTCTTCCTACTTTGCAAGGGTATATGCAATAATATGTTACCTTCAGTCAATACTAAGTAAAGCTTCTTTTAATTCTCACCACAAAGGCCATAACCATGTAACTGACTTCAGTATAGAGTGTAGTGGTATCTACCACTAACAACCCTTGAAACCGAGTGGCACTAGAAGTTTATCTTTCTATTAATATCTTAAACTGCATACACCATAAACTAATGTAGCTGCAAGCTTAACATTAATATATACTGCAGTTGGTTTTCATTTTCACTGTATGTGAATAATAGCTCTGCCTGTCTCCTTCTCTATTAGGGGAGACCTTCAGTGGAATGCTGGAGAGAAGAAGTTAACAGGAGGAGCCAACTGGCAGCCAAAAGTAGCACCTGCAACATGGTCAACTGGTGGTGTCCCAAGTGGTCCATTGGTAGGTGGTTGATCTGTCAGTACTACTGGTATTGAAACGTCAATATTTTACAAGACTTTGCAAGTAGGCCCCACTCCTGTCTACTTCAGCTAAACAGTTTGTTTCTGTATAAGTGAGTGTTTCAAATCACATTTCTGAGACCAAATTTACAGCTGGCATACATAAATCATTGAGTTCAGGTCAATGAAAATACACGAGTGCATGTATCAAGGTGTTACTATACACCTGCACTTAACATCAATGGAAATTTCCAAGTGTGTGCTTAGCCAAAGAGGCTTTTCAAGCACCAGGCCCAGGTAGATTGCCCAAAAGACAATGGTATTGATCCAACACTGAAGTACTGGAAAGAGAGAAAATAAATAGGTTTTCCTTGAGCTTTCCTGAATGAAATAGTTCAAAAGACTACAGAGTATTGAGACTGATGGGGTGATTGATACCAGATTAGAAGTGGGTGGTTCTTTAGTAAAGCAGTCTGTTGGAACAGTAAAGATGGCTCTGTAAAATGTATCAGGAGGGACTAATTTTGAGAGAAGAGGGTTGAATTGAGCTAAAAATCTAAATTTGGCACAAGAGCAGCTTGATCACGAGTAAGCTACGAGAGTAATCAAAGCTGCAGGGGGCATAAAACAGTGTCTGTTTGGAAAAAAGTTGGGTTGGGAAGGGAAGAAAGGGACTGCCACGGGGGAGCAGGACCAGTTCAGTTCCCTGCTGCCACAGCCAGGTGCTAATGTGACTCTAAGCACATTCCAGCTTGTTCCTTAACCTTATGGAAGGTAGAAGAATTCCCTGGACTTGGTACTTCATTGAATGTATCAGTTGTAACGTCAGCTTTTTTTCTTAATAGAAAGGCTGGGCAATACTGTACCGTGTAAGTGAATATTTGGTTTTTTATCTCTTATTGTACTTAACTTACTAAACACAAAGGTACTAACAGCACCTCACCTGCACTACAGTTACTACTGCTGCCTTAAAACCAGCTAGAAGCGACCTAACACGGCTGTTCTTGGACTGTCTGTCCAGCAGAAAATTCTCAGGCAATGTGTTGAATCTGGTAGTAGTGATTAACCATTTCTGTGCTGTAAGCTTGGAAATAATGGCTTCAAACTAATGGCCTCCAACTGCCTTTGCTTTACTTGGACGTGAACTATTTGATCACTTGTACTACCTGAAATTTCATAACGTCATCCTGTTCTTGTAGTGGTTTTACTGTCTGATAAGTAACTGGCCTTTCTGGAAAGCTGGGTGGTTTTGATAGCATTTCATGAAACAAGGGTGCTATATATATATTTCTTCAAAATCATGCACTTGGGTATTGTTTGAAACCAAAGAAATCCAGATCTGCAGAAAAAAAAATGTATATGGAGACCAAAGTGAAGCTTTCTTTCACATCAGTGTTGAACCACTTGAAGTTTTGGTCACTTCTTCCCTTCCTTGTGACCTTTCACCTTCCAGATTAAAATCCCCTCTTCCTATTGCTACACTCCCTGATCAAGAGTCCCTCCCCATCTCTCTTGTAGCCCCCTTTAGGTACTGAAAGGCCACTATAAGGTCTCCTCAGAGCCTTCTCTTCTCCAGGCTGAACATCCCCAGCTCTCTCAGCCTGTCCTCAGAGCAGAGGTGCTGCAGCCCTCTAAGCATCTTTGTGGCCCTCCCTCCAGCAGGTCCATGTCCTCCTTATGTTGGGGACCTCCGAGCTGGAAGCTGGAAGAGGTGGGGTCTCATCAGAGTCTTGTCTTTGGCAAACTTGTCAAGGGTGCACTCAATTTGCTGTTCATGTCCCCAACAAAGATGTTAAATGGCACCAGTCCCTGTACTGACTCCTGAGGAATGCCACTTGTCACTGGTCACCACCTCCATTCAGTTTGTGTGAACATTTTCTTGGCATCTACCAACTGGATTTTTTCTGTTCTTTTCCATATCTGAGCATCCAGATGTTGGTTTTACTCTGGGGACAGCTGTGCTGCTGGTGCAATACAGCTTTTACTTGAAAACTTTCAGACTGGAAGAGAGGGTCATAATTATTAGGCAGAAACCATAGAGTGTTTGCTGAGTAATGAATCTTGAACAGGTTATCTTCACTAACCTCCAGTTTCCTAAGAAAAAAATATTAATTAGGTTGAAGTTAAAGGGATCTCACTGCATAAAAATGCTATTTTTTAATTGGAAGCTAATTATAGCAGTTATTTCCCTGAGCATTACAATCTGCTTAAGCTTTTACTGAAACACAAGTGCTACAACAAGTGCAGTAGCAAGTTGGCTATCAATTATGAAATTGAGATGCTTTCTTACAATGTGGAGGAGGAGGAAAGTATGTATTTTCTTGGGCCGATTTTGAGATGTCTTCAGTAAATGGACTCCATTCACGAAGAGAAGGGAGTGTGTCACCCTCGCTCACTTATGACAAAGCTGAACGTTGGTGTAAGGACTCGTTCAGCTCTCTCATTCTTTGAAGCGTGGTGCTTTTGAGGTTAGGTATTATCTGCTACCTAACAGTCCTACTTTTCAGAACAACTCGGAGAACACTGGAGACTCCATGTCTTTTCCAGATAGTTACAGGAAATCGTGCATTTTTATTTTTTTACCTTTTTTCTTCTTTTTTTTTAGACGGGAGCTGTGCCTCCAGCAGGTGCTGTTCCTGCTGCAGGAGGTACTCCACCCGTCCCGCAGCCGGGAGCAGCATTTGGGATGGTGAGTCCCTTTTGTTACACCCCTCTCCTTCCATCACCCAGGACCCCGCTCACGGTGTGTTGATTTGCAGCCCCCAGCAGGCGCAGGCGTGCCCATGATGCCCCAGCAGCCAGTCATGTATGGGCAGCCTATGATGAGGCCACCATTTGGAGCTGCCACTGGCCCCGGTGTACAGGTAAGTGCTGCTTCTAGATCAGCGTTTAATTGCTCTCCTTTTGTCTAAAAAGTAGCTTGTGTGTCTGCATTAACTCAGTTCAGTTCTAGCTGTAGGTCCATCAGTGAGATTTCTAAGAGTATCAGCTGCCTGACTTGAAACATCATGTGAACCACCTTGATTTTTATTTTTTGATTCCTTTGAAGTCTCCTGCATCTAATGACATCCAAGATCTGGTTTGGGAGGATATTTGAGTAAAGCTCAAAGTAGACCCTGATGGGCATTCCTAATCTGTTCAGAGCTTGTCAGCATTTACTTGAGCTGCACTCAGCATCTTCCAGCTCACCAAGAGCTTCCTCAGAAGACCAGCCTTCTGCTTATGAACAAGCTAAAGTCTCCTGCCCTTGGATGGCAGCTGTTTTTTCAGTGTATGGAGTTTATCTGTTTTAGGCTGGTATCTTGCTGAGTTTCTTTCAGTGCAAAACAACTGCAATCGAGTATGAATTACCATAGCGTATGTGACATTGCAGTGCTCCTTCACAGCAATGAGCAAATTTAAATACTGTGAAGTTTTTCTTCTAGCTTACTTTAAGGTGAAGGAATGCAATGAATAATCTTCAGTCACTGTGTTCTTTTTTAGGTAGGAATTAGATGACACTGCTTCATTTTTCATATTTTTAAACTGTATTTGCCTATTCTGACTTTGTGACAGTCACGTATGTAGACATAAGGGTGACACAAGTTTGGCCACCTCAAACCAAACCAAACCTATTCTTAATTCTATATGAATTAAAAATAACCAGGAAACATTGGGTCATGAGTTACTGGTTGCCAGCGAGATGAGACCTTTCTCTAATATGATGGAAAAAAACGTAGTGGAGTAATTAATGATGAAGTAGGTTGAGTGAATGGAGGCATGCCATTCTTCCTGTTGAACTGGGTGGCACCAGCTGCTTCTGGGAGTTTCCTAAGGATTCTTTTTAACTTGGAGTTAATAAGTTTGGAAGCACAGCACTCTGTACTCACTCTGATGCAGAGGTTTTAGTTCATAGCCACAAGGTGATGCAACGTAAGCCATAATACCTGTGCCAGGCTATTTTTTTCAAAGTAGAGTTTGGCTTGTAATAACTCTGAAAAGGAAAGGGAGCTTCCAGGGAAGAGGCAGGGAATTACTTACCTCTAGTATTTTGCTGCTTTGTAAGTCAGAAGTCCATCTTGTCTTTCAAATAGAGGAGGAGATGGAAGTTGATGCTGCAGCTCTAAAATCTGACTTGTAACACTTGAAACTAAGCCACCTCCCTTTTTTTGCAAATATCAAGCAATCGACCTGTAGCAAACCACACTTTTTAAGTGGGGAATCGCATTCCCATTGAAGTTTGTCTGGGTTTTCTATGTAGAAATGGGAAGAACTTGAAACTGTTCTAGGTGAGAAGGTAGGTTGTAGGTATTAGAGCTCTGCATTTCATATATAGCTACTTGGTCTTGCTTTTCCTCCCATCTTGAACTGTCTCTCCGCTTACATTATCAAGAATAATATTATTGAAGACAAAAACGAGAATCATTTGGCTCCCTAGGGAAAAGAGTTGCCTGGAACTTAGAAATATTTTCTGTGCAATAACTGAACTCCCTGAAAGGAGGGTGTAGCCTGAGGGGGTTCGTCTCTTCTCCCAAGTCACAGGTGATAGCATAAGAGGAAATGGCCTCAGGTTGCACCAGGGGAGGTTCACACTGGATATTGGGAAAAACTTTTACACAGAAAGGGTTATTAAGCCTTGGAATGGGCTGCCCAGGGAAGTGGTTGAGGCACCATCCCTGGAGGGATTTAAAAGATGGGTTGACATAGTACTTAGAGACATGGTTTAGTGATGGGTTCTATCAGAGTTAGGTTGATGGTTGGACTGGATGATCTTAAAGGTCCCTTCCAACCTAGACAATTCTGTTTCAATGTAGAACAAGTTGTACAACTTGCTGGGATTTTCAGACTTAACTCTGCAGCGTGCACTCTGCTTGTTCTGCACCTTGGTGTTTAACATCTAACAACTGCTTAACCTCTGTCTGGGCTGATGATCCTGACACCATTCCGTCTTACAGGGAGGGAGGGATTTGAAGCTACGCTAATTAGAATATGCAATGTCCACAGCCCATTAAACCCATTAAACCAGCCAAACATTGTTAACCCTGTAGTGCGGATGGAGTCTAAACAATGCCTGAGCGAAATGGCAACACGCTGAACTTACCCCAAAATGAGAACTTTGTATGCCTGCAGTGTGCTTGTGTGAGAACCAGCTGTTCCTAACGCTTGTGTGTCCTTCTCTGCTTTGTCTTTTTTGTTTTGTTTTGTTTTCCTGCCTTCCTGGCTGGCGTCTTTTAGCTTTCTCCAAGCCCAACTCCTGCTACTCAGAGTCCCAAGAAACCTCCAACAAAGGACCCATTAGCGGATCTTAACATCAAGGATTTCTTGTAAACCATAAGGTATTCTGTGACTGCCCACCTAAGCATGTTGTGCTGTGGTACCTCTCTGGCACACAGATGGTGGTTGGGCCAGGAGGTGGAATATGACTGATAAAATTGCAGCTGCAGAGATAGGTAGAAACGTGCACTCATAATGTGGTGGTTTAAACAGAAAACCAAATTCTTTGTCCACACTCTTAATTTTAGCAGGACGTGACTGCCCACCTAAGCATGTTGTGCTGTGGTACCTCTCTGGCACACAGATGGTGGTTGGGCCAGGAGGTGGAATATGACTGATAAAATTGCAGCTGCAGAGATGGGTAGAAACGTGCCCTGATAATGTGGTGGTTTAAACAGAAAAACAAATTCTTTGTCCACACTCTTAATTTTAGCAGGACAGCTTGACTTTTGGCTATTTTATTTTTTTGGCCAAAAGTGACTGCCAAGAAAATTTATCTTCAGTCTATAGCTTCCATTTTTGCCTTGTTTCCATCCAATCCAAAGGTATGGTTTTTGTTTGGTTTGGTTTTGGTTTTGTTTTTTTTTCCCCTGAATTTAATACTGAAACAAATAGAATCACAACAGGGTATAAATACTGGGGGCAAAATGGTGCTGAAGAGGCATCTTCCAGTCTTGTGGGGTGAGTGTGGAAACAGATTTAGTATCATAGGTGGGAGAGAGGAAAAAACCTATATATATCCTTATCATCAAGGGAAGGTTGTTTGCATCTCTCAAAAGCCACCAGCTGATGTTCTCCCCCACCATACCCTTCTTCAAGCACTGCTTTTCTGAATGCTAAGGCTTGAGGTCCTGATGTTCTCCCCCACCATACCCTTCTTCAAGGCACTGCTTTTCTGAATGGTAAGGCGTGAGGTCCCGAGTAGAACAGCAGTGGTGAAGAACAGGGGAGCAAATAAAAAAGGAAAAATGGAGGAGAAGCAGAAAACCAGTACTGCAGAATGGGAGGGGAAAAAAAGGCAAAAACGTTACTGTGAGGGTTTTGGAGAAGGATGTGAAGAGGGCCAGGTGGAAACATCAAATTGAATTGACCGCTTAAGCCAATTAAAAAATAACAATGCAGAAGTAAGGTAGGCATTTTATAATTAAGACTTGAATTATTTGCCAGGTGAGGAGAGGACAATCATTACAATATCTTTAAAGTCTTCTTCACAAGTCCCTTTTCTTTATTCCTATAAATTAATTCTAATGTTTGTTCTGACCCCTCTGGAGTTGGCAGCAGTGGGTGGGATCAGGATGCTCTTAGCGGGCACCACCCAGTCCCACTTCCCCATTCTCCACATTCCAGCCCTGGGGAGATGTACCTGGAGGTGTACTTGGCCCTTGGTGGAGATGGCCAGGAGTGGAGATGCACCTTCATTGCTGGCACTCACTGTTTTCAATTTGGCTTTATAGTAGGCAGCTTCATAACTGTCCATGGGAGGGCTGCTTCTTCATTAAAAGCTGGCAACAACTCCTTTGAGGCATGAAGCCATGAGCAGGTGCTCTTTGTAGGATGTGCTTGGTCTAACTTAATATTCTGGTTTTCATCTAATGCTTCTCTGTGTTTGCAGCTGCAGTTTTTCTGATGGGATGATAAAAAACAAGTGCGTTTGGAGTCTACAAAGGGATGCTCCAAGTTTCCAAGTGAGCCACCAGTACCAAACCCAGCGCTTACTCAGACTTTCTCTTCCTCCTGAAAACGTGTAGCACAGCTGTGAAAGTGAACATTAGGAATGTGTACTACTACTACCTTAGCTGTTATCCCTACTCTCTCGAAATTTGTGTACTCGGGTTATTTGTGTTTTACAATTTAAACAATGGATGTATGTTTCTGATGCCTTCTAGTGCTTTTCTGAACCTATCCCACGGGGGCAGATTATGCAGCTGTTGTTTGGTGAGCCATTTGGAGCGATGTCTGTGGTTTTTGAAGGTCTCAATGTATATAACTTTTTGAGGACACCTAAAATTTCCCTAGGACTCAATTTCTCCTTTATCTGTTACAAAACATAGTGTGATAATACAAGATAGTAAGGAAAATACTTATGAAATTGTGTGGAATACCTTTTTTTTTTTTTTTTTCTTCTCTCCAGTCACAGGAATCTCAATTGTCGTGAAAAAATGTTTTATTTTTGTGGCACTGTATATGTTAAGATAATTTAAAGTAATATAAAGGTAAACTTCCATAACAAATACTTTTTTCAATGATTTACCAAGAAGGAAAAAAACCATATCTGAAAGAATACCATATTTATTGCCATTTTTTATTTTAAAAATCTATTTTAATTATTTAAGGTTTTTTTTGCATTTTAAAATTGGCGTGTCTATCGGTTCTTGCTCAATGCACTGAAAAAATAAGTAAAGGGTCGGTTTCTCTCCGTGTAGCTGGGAAAAGCAACCGTAGTCGTGCTGGCATTAAGGGATTTCAAATACTGAGAGCACTCTTTGGTATATCTGTAGTCGAAACATGACGAGTGATGTTACTCATCTCTGTTCAGTTCTTACGTACATCTCTTAATTTAGTGCTTCCCTGTGTATGCCTTAGGCTAGTGTTTTCTCCATTGCCCCGAATGCGCTGTGAGTAGCTTTTGTACTATTGGTGATTAGATTTAATTCTGATCCGGAGATCCACGCCCTTTACTGTACATACTGTGTTTCTTTTTAATTTTGATTTGTTCTCATACTGTTTCTCTGCTGATGGCTTGGCGTTAAGATCTTGACTCTTCAATGAGGTCACTGTTGATCAGTGTTACAAGTGGCTTGGCAGTTCTCTGTAAAAGCATATCGGGTTGGAAAGATATTCACCTAAAGTCTTTCAAATGAACTATTTAATCAGTGTATGGTACCATTAAAAGTGGTTGTATCTGAATTTGCTGTGGGGATAACATAATGGGAAAGTTCTATAAAAGGCGAATTTCAAAAAGGCTCTTCTTTGTATTTCAGTTTAAAAAACAAAGAAAACAAACAAACAAACAAAAAACCCCAGTGCATGTGTGCCCTCTGAGATGCAATAAACACCTTGATCAAAGTAAATACCTGGTCGCCAATTTCATGATCGTTGAGATGTTGAGCACAGAAATACAATTGGAGAAGGGAAAAATGTGTGTAGGTCCTGACACTGATCGCTGTGTTGTCTACAGGTGGTGAGGACTTCTGCTGGTCTTCAGGCAGTAGAGGAGAGAGCTGCTACAAAGCCAGACTGAGCACAAAGCTGCAAGTAAAGCAGGGAGAGGGAGAGGAGAATTCTCTAGTTTGACCTATAACACCTCGGGAGGCTTCCTTAAAGCTCTTCATCTCCTTAAACTAGAATAATATTGGAAACGTGAAAGTTTATAACGCTGGTTCTGATTTCTTTCCTGTGAGGCATCATCCAACAGCTTATTGAGAGCGAGCACAGCCACAGTGCTACAGGAGCTGTTTGTGCTGTGGTTCACCTTATGGCAGGATGAAAGGATGAGAAAACGTTTCAGATGGTCTTCCTGGTATGAAGTGACTGACTAGAGACCTCCTTGTTTTAGTAACAAGATGAAGTGATGAAGCAGTATTGAATGCCAAGGGCATTCAAAGGATTTCATAAACAACAAAACACTGAACCGACTTGATCACGCTCTGGTGAAGTTTGAATCTTGAAGTGGATTTCAAAGTTGTACAACGAGTAGGGGAGTGCCATTCCTTAGGAGGTTTTTTGGTAACTTCTTTGGGTTTTTTAGTTGCTGCTATGTTGGTCTTCTGAATCTATCAAGTTTGGCTTTGGAAAAGTTGATTTTACGCCTCAGATTTGGATGAATGCCCTCCCAAGTCAGGTTATTCTGGATTAGAAAGCTGGAAAGCTCAGCAGACCGCTGTAGTTTCTGACTATTTGAGCACAAAGACCTGAACAAGGTTAGTAACTGCACCCCCAGAAAGGTTCACCATGGTTTTGCCTGTCCTTCCCATGTGCTGGGTGTTGTCAAATGCAGGGAGTGCTCAACTTCCTACCACCATGGTGTGCATGTCTTCTCAAAGCAAGGACAGCGTTTTCAGAAGACGGTCATAACCAAATATGTAAATATATTCATAGCAGTTCATTAGTGTCTCATTCAAATTAAGATCAGAGAATCACAGAATGATGTGGGTTTGGAAGATCATCTGGTCCAACCCCCCTGCCAAAGCAGGTTGCACAGGAACGTGTCCAGGGGGGGTTGGAATGTCTCCAGAGAAGGAGACTCCACCACCTCTCTGGGCAGCCTCTTCCAGGGCTCTGCCGTCCTCAAAATGAAGAAGTTCCTTCTCATGTTTAGGTGGAACTTCTTAGGTTCAAGTTTGTAAGATGATGAACTACCACTCACTGAGTTGCCAATGACTGTTTGCAACGTTACCTGTTTCAAGGGGCCAAAACTCAGTGTGAGGGCTTTTTCTTTGCCAGGTACATGCAGTAATTGCCTTTCCTGCATCAGCTTTGTCAATTTCTACAGCCCTTGGTCCTTGGTTAGTCTTCTATGGCTCTGATGGCCAACAGCTCTGTGCAAGCTCTGTGTGTCGCGCTTGATAACCTGTGAGGAAATAGAAGCCTGGACAGAAAGCAAACTCGGTTGAAGAGCGAGAAGCTTGTGGGCTGTGGGAAGCAGGACCAGTGTATTGCCCCAGTAGGCTGAGCATGGCTAACCAAAAGTGACTCTTCTCCTCACCACAGAGGAGTTAGAAAATCTGGCTTGCGAGGAAAACAAGTGGTTGTCTCCTGGCCTGTAGACAAGAACGTGTTCTTGTTATCATATGAGTTTTATCATGCAGGCATGAACCCATCTGTGTCCTGCTATGACTAACCCCTTCTCAGCACAAGCGATGGAGGAGAGTGGGTGGGGAAGAGGCTCCCATCTGTGGGAGGGAGAAACTGTCTCCTTCCCCTGTGTTTTTCTTGAGGGCAGGACAGGTTTCAGAGAGCTGATGTGTCCCTTACCCAAGCTCTTGCTCTTCTGTCTACTGGCTTTTGTAGGAGCTGGCATCTCTGGCCACAGGAGACTTTTTAAGCTCCTGCTTAAGCCTTGGGTGCCTTAAGGAATGGTAAATACCTGGAGAACGTGAACTCAGCTTACTCAGTAGAGAGGTTTGAGCAAAAAAACCCCAATGTGTTCCTCAGAACTGACTCATTTTTTGAATGTTTGGGGTTAGCGATGTCTCCTACTCCTCTTCCCTATTCATCATTATTTTTAATTGGCTTTATTTGAGGATGTGTTCCTCAGAACTGACTCATTTTTTGATGTTTGGGGTTAGCGATGTCTCCTACTCTTCTTCCCTATTCGTCATTAATTTTAATTGGCTTTATTTGAGATTTTTTTTTTTTTAGCTGTGTTTTATAATGTATGCCTTTCAAAATGCACCGTAGCTTGAGCTGAGGGCTTCTGGATTGATGCTGGTTTTGCCCCAGGTGAAAGGCTGGGTGGTGAGAACTTTGTTGTTGTTGTCTTCTAAGATCCTGGGTGCCACCTTAGCATTTCAGGCTGTTTGCAAAATCAGGCTGTTACCCCAACTTCCATTCTTAGGGTAACTGCAAAGGCCAGAGACTTGCCTTAAAAACCAAGCAGGAAAGTCCAGAGCAAGAACTTTAGCTTTAGGGGAGGGGGAAAGATTTACTTTGTAAAAGCAGTTGAGACTCGGGTAATACGAGGTGCTACTTTCCAGTGGGTGACAGCATCTGGTTCCTGAAATGCCCAGTAGCCACAGCTGACATTGATTTGTCTTTTTGGCATGAATCTTTGCTCCTGCCCCTCCTTTCCCATCTCGTGCCTCAGAGTAAGAGCTGCCTGCTCAGGCAACTTGTTCTGCATGGGAAAAAAAAAAAAAAGTATGTCCCAATAGCACTTAATGCCTAGAAAATCCAACTGAAACTTCCAGTGGTAGAAGTAGTGGCAGTGACATAAAGATCATACACCGAGCTAGTGGTCCAGTTCTTCTAGAACATGAAATATAAATTTTATTTAAAAAAAACTTTTTTTCCCATGTATTGCTGCTGCTGTGAGCAGTGTGGGAAGTGGCAGACGCCGAGTGGTGATGAGGGGACAAAATAAGAATTTCAGCGATGGGATTACAGAAGGAGAGAGGCTGTACATATTTCAAAGCAGCCAGCACTTGCCTTTTATTTTTCTGTTCCAGATCTTGGCTCCTAAAGCTTCATGACCACTTCCCTTAATTAAACTCTGCAAATGATGTGGGTAGCAAAAGCCTGATGCTTGTTCTGTTGCCCTGGCTGCGATTATAGGTGTAAGAATAGTTGCCTTTGGGAGTTAGCAAAGGTGGTAGAGCAGAAGCAGAAACTGAAGTGAAGAAATGTTTGTGGGTGTGACATCCACTGCATGGACTACAGCGAGCAAACCTCCTTGCTGGCAGTTTAGGGGAACTTGTAAAGGATCTGATGAGTATCTGCCCTGCAACAGCTCTGGAAGGCACCTACATCCAAATGGTCATGGTTGAACATAGAATCAGAGAATGATTCAGGTTGGAAGGGACCTTAAAGATCATCCGGTTCCAACCCCCCTGCCCTGGGCAGGGACACCTCCCACCAGACCAGGTTGCTCCAAGCCCCATCCAGCCTGGCCTTGAACCCCTCCAGGGATGGGGCAGCCACAGCTGTGGGATGCCCAAAATGTTTTGCTCTCTAAGACACGGTCCTTGCCCAGAAAGGGAGAGGATCAAGGCAGCATTCAGTACAGTGTAGCTAATGTTTAAATGACACAAAAGCTCCAGTGGCTCCATCTGCGTACACGTCACCCAGCAGTGCATCTGGGTTTGTGCACGGGCTGTTTTTAAGCATCCTCCTAAACTTATGTGAAATTAAATTAGGCAAGTTATTTGGTGGTTAATTCAGCCACTTATTTTTTTCTCTCTCTAAAACTTCCCTTTCTATTTTAAAATTTCATCTGCATATCTTGGATTATCTTCTTACTACCACAGTCCTCAAGTTCACAGGTTAGAGAGAGTTGATTCCCATTTATTAACAGAGACTGTACAAAAGACAGCATTCTTTTTCAAAGTAGCATAAATAAATTACATATTGACAGTAAGCATTTTCTGTTTAAATGCTCAGCTATTGTTTAGGCAGGTACAGAGTAATTTATAAAAACTAATGTTTGTATGTGTACAAGTCTGTACACGCTTCTTACTCTGAGAAACTACTAAGTAAACCTCTTTTTCCAGAGCAACTCTATGATCATGTTATTGGAGCACAGCTAATACTCATTTCCACGTTTGCTTAAGCCTTCTTGATTCCTCCAGAACCTGGCATCTTCCCTTATCTAGAAGAAGCACACCTTGTGGTTCCTAAATGAGGTATTTATCTTCCAAAGATTTTTAAACATAGTCTGACGGATTATGTTCTTGATGGTTAGTAAGATGTAACATTAGGCTTTGGTTGTAACATTAGGCTTTGGTTTTTATTGTGTGTACAAGTCTGTACACGCTTCTTACTCTGAGAAACTACTAAGTAAACCTCTTTTTCCAGAGCAACTCTATGATCATGTTATTGGAGCACAGCTAATACTCATTTCCACGTTTGCTTAAGCCTTCTTGATTCCTCCAGAACCTGGCATCTTCCCTTATCTAGAAGAAGCACACCTTGTGGTTCCTAAATGAGGTATTTATCTTCCAAAGATTTTTAAACATAGTCTGACGGATTATGTTCTTGATGGCCTGGCCTTGAACACATTAGGCTTTGGTTGTAACATTAGGCTTTGGTTTTTATGAAATCAGTACAGTTAAATGGAATTTAGAAAAGTATTTCACTGTTCCGTCCACCCAGAAAATAGCATTTTGTATCCAGGATTGATTTCCCCAGGATTTCAGGATCCTGGCAAACATTTCTTTGTAATAAAGTAGCTTATGTATCTGTTAAAATATTTGGCTTCAGGACTGATCATCAAAATCAACTCTAATCCTACTCTCAATTTAGCCTGCCTTGTGGATTTTTCAGACAAGTCCTTTTTTTTTTGCCAACAGATGTTGAGGGCTGCATTTAGGTTGGTTGTGCTCTTAACAGCTTTTAGAAATACCTCAAAGAATTT